GTAACAGTTCATATATTTTCTACTACTGGGAACAGGCCCCTCAAATTTCTGAGACGGTTTAAAGCGGAGAAGAGACTGTCGCGTTTCCTTTATCTTTTTAAAATCAAACATTTTTAATTATTAAAAAACATAAAGGAATTTTGATATGCTGTAACGGTCTATTTTTATGGAATCTATTTATTTATCAAAACTAAACCAAAGAAAAAAAACTCGAAGTACGTTACGAAATAGAAAAAACTGATTGATCTGGACATCTAAAACGTTCGTTTATGAAGTAGATAACTATTTGGAAACTTTTCGAGCGCCCTAGTTGGAAAACTTAAGCATTTCGTTTTTATTCTCCAGAGGCCATTAGTATCGATAGAGTCCATGGCGGACTTTCTCCCGCCGATCCAATTATCTTTTGTTTATGGTTACGGTGCTTATGATTTACAGCTTAATGGGTTGTTTTATCTGATATGCGCCATCCGTGATCTCAGAAGCTTATTTTCTTTTAGTAAAATATTTTATTATTATAAGGAAAATCCGTGTAGAGGCGGTGTAAGAAAATCTAATATCCTATATCATCCCGTGTGACAAATAAATGGAATAAATTAAAAGGTGAGCAGCAGCAAAACTCAATAAAAATCCTGTTGTGGCAACTATATCAAATATCCCTCTTATAAGGCAACCTTAGCGGAGGCCTGTTTAGCTGTGGACTTTTGATGACTTCGAAAAAAAATTTGTCCTTCCTAGTAATTTTGTGCATTATGGCGGTTCTACACGTTGACCAACATAGTGGCGAATGTTGTGGCCAATAGCAATGGCCATCGTGTAGAGCGGGTGTTCGTGCTTACCTTGGTATGTATTGGAATGATGGCCCACAAGTGGGCGCGAGATCCGTGTGTTGTCGGTTTTTTACAAAAGATCAAAAGATTTTGGCAGAGTTTGGCCGCCGCGTCCTGTGGAGTCCACACGTTGGGCGCGCGTTTAGTTTGCTACGAGCTCCCAGAGTGATTGCACGCACCTGATTTAAATTTTATACTTACGCTTCGTAACTAGTGTCTACAATATGAAAATAACAGTGATCAATGAAGACACTTTTCGCTTTATAGAGCTCTACCAAGCCGAAAACAAAAGAAATAAAAATTCTAATGAAATTAATTTAAAATAATATTTTCTTATACACATTCACGTAATAGCGGTATGCTGTGAATAAATAAACTGCAGCAGCTGTTAGCGCCTCTATATCCATTTTAATAAATTCGTCTGCACATTGGCCTGAACCCTGATCCGAAGCAAACTCAACGACCTTCCAAAGTGTGGAGTGTGGACGCTATCACAAACTCTTGGCCAATATCTTTGCCACAACATTCGCCACTATGGTGGCCAACGTGTAGAGCCGCCATTAGGGCAACGCAGAACAATAACAACAAAAAACAAATTGCACAAATATTGGCCGCAGAAGATTGGAAATTGGATTCGCTGCTGAATGACTATGTAACCTCTATAAAAATTAGGTCACGAGACCGCAAATTTTAAATGCTCTGGACTTAGTGAGTGATTTGAATTTCTAATGAGGTTCTATTTTAATTTGAAGCAAATAAATTAAACTTAATTTTTTAACGTAAACGATATACCTTACCACAGTTTTTCCTTTAAATAGCATGTTACAAATTATTATATCACATTACAAATTTATATTTATAATACAAAACAGTGCCTTAAATGTTTATTTAATTTAAGAACTCGAATACTTCTTAGATTATAATGCTTGTTTGGTAAAGTTTTTATGTTATATAATTGTGTGGAATTGAAAACAATGACATGCTTCTTTCATACCTGACGATAAACTATAAATTACCTTCAACTATACAATGAAGACAATGCGTAAACTGCTTAGTAATGATTATTAATTATTGTAATAATAGGTTTCGTAATGATACGAAGAATTTTTATCGTAGTGAATTTATCAGAAAAATATAATAATTGTAATATGTACTAGAAATATTCTTCTTTTAACACTAGACACTTTTTGGGTTATGATAATGACGATTTTATAATATCTCTTATTTTCAGCCTAAAGCCAAATTGAAATCACTCAAATTTTTAGCTCACAAACGCACGCACGTGTACGATTACTATTCACACATCACTTTCTCATTTCTTGATTATCGTTTACTGCGCATTAATTCATTGTTTTTACGTAATTTTACTTATTTATTATGTTGTCCGTATTTATTTGAGTTGTTCTACTAAAAGAGGAAGGCACTGGTTTCTAAGATACAGTTTTACAACTAGTTTAGAAGCAAGTGTTTCATTTACTTGTCAGAAGTTAAAATAATTCCTCATAAAGCTTCTGAAGTCTACAACTCGATACACTACGTCTTAGCACTAACTGCAGAAGTTATTGTGTGAAAATTATTGTATTCCTTTCATCTTCTTTTATTTTCTAAAAACGTAAGAATTTTCTCCTGTATCGTGGTGGCAGTTTACAAACATAAATTGCATGTTATTTATTTACTTAGGACGTTAAATGAATTAAAATGTATTTTTAATTGAATTTTTGTTCTGCATTTTAGATATCCTTATTTACTTATTGTACAACTAGCACGCATACGATTTACCGCTTCATTATAACTAAATACGTGTAACAATTGATTTCCTTCCTTATTTATGTTTGTTTATATAACAATAATTATTATTCATACTGGGTATGACTAAATTCACTTTGTACATAATCGCCTGATGCTTTTCTTTTATTTGTTGGTTGGTATATCAGTAGTTGACAACTGTAAATATCCTGTAAATATCCTCACAATCTTCTTTCTTTTTAATTATAGGGAAACATCGATGTCGCGTCGAAGACGGCAGTTCACTGAAACAGTAATCTTGGTGCAAATGTACTGAATTATATTAAGCGATATTGCGTGCAAAAACGTCTACAGATCGAATGAAGTCGAAAATCGGGAAGATGAAATATTTGCCTTCGGGCGGACAAAAGGAATGTTATACGTTGCTTACAGCGAGAAGAAGATATATGAAGAAGTTAATGTATGTACTTACTGCTTTAAATTTCTTCTCTGGAAATGTATATATTTTTGAGTACGATGGTGTAACTAAAACTCGTGATTGTGGTGACGGGAAACTTCGGAATTTCTTTTTACCTACTTCTCTTATTCTATATTATGTATGTAGTGTATATTATCCAAAAATATTATTTTATCACCGTTAAGTTTCATTGATTGATTGAATCAGTGTAGTTGGCGCTCACTCTTGACTTATTTTGAAGTTCATTTTATTATATACCTTGTAGATATGTGTTTTAATGTCAGTATAAGCCGTGGTAGCTCAGATGGTTAACGCTCGCTGTAAATTTCAAAATACGCGAGCAAACTGGGTTCGATTTCCGCCGGCACCAATGAAATTGTTAATTGCAATTTTAAGTGCTGATTTACCACGTGCTCCGTGGTGAAGAAAATCTCGTGAGAAAACCTGCATGTCTGAGAAATAGGAAAAAATATTTCGAAGACATGTGAAGTTCGCCAACACGCATTGGGGCAGCGAGGCGAACAATTCCTTACCCTAAAACCTTCTCAGAAATTAGTGGAGGCCTGTGCCCAGGAGTGGGACTTATATAGGGTGTAACTTTAATTTTATAACTTTTATGGTCAGTATAAGAGTCTTAGACGAAAGGTTTTCGAGTGGCTGCCTTCTAGCGTAAGCGATGTGAAGGACGACACCAACTAGATGGAATGTCGACCAGGTAAGATATACAGGAAGTTGATGGATACAATGGCTTAGGACTGTGTTTTGTCGGGTTTCTTGGGGTCGAGCTAGGCAGTTGTCTTATTTAGTAATGATGATGATGATAGTGATGATGAATATTCACAGTATATATTACTGTTACGAGCTTAGGGTTCGTGACAATAAAAACTACCAACTGCGGAAAGTTCAAGATTGACATTTTCTAGGAAGCCCTCCTCGCTCTGGTCCCTGACACTAGATGGCGCTAGTGCCAGGTACCAGACGTCAACTTAGGCGCGCAACATTACGTAAATAAGGTGTAATATACCTACGATGCGACACCAATAATAATTGACTGATTCTGATAATTGACAAATTTCTCATCAAAGTATCATATTTTCGGACTGCATTTAAAGTATTCACGTCTTTTCTTTTTAATAGAAAAATTAATCACATTATAAATTTTTCTTATTATAAAGTTAGTCATGTTATCTTACTGAATTATTACACGGCAGCCTTATCTTTATACGTGGTAGAGCCATGTTCTCTCTCTCTCTTCCTGGCTATGTGTCCCACATGGTGGTGGGGTCAGCCTTTCTTGTCTTACGCCTCCACTTCGCTCTATCCTCGACTTCATTTTCGGAGACCTCGCACTCTCTCATGTCCTTTACCACTACATCTTTCCATCGTGTTTTGGGTCTGCCCCTGGATCTTCGACCTGGGATGGAAAGTTGTAGTACCAAGTTCCCTACGTAGTCGGGTGGCCTCCTCTTCACGTGCCCATACCATCGCAGCCTACTTTCCTGCATCTTGTCAGCGATGTCGCGCACGCCCAAGCTTCCTCGCACTTACTCGTTGCGGATTTTGTGGAGCTTGGTAACGCCGCACATCCACCTCAGCATCTTCATCTCGGCAACTTGCATGGTATGCACATTCTTTTGAGTTACGGCCCATGTTTCACTACCATACAATAGGACTGGTCTGATGATGGTCTTATAGATTAAACCTTTAAGTTTGACCGGCATTCTCCTATCGCACGTGACACCAGTCACTTCTCGCCACTTTAGCCACGCTGCGGCTATTCGGTGCTGAATGTTAATTTCCAAGTTCCCAGAACCGCTCATCATACTACCCAGATACTTGTATTGATCACACGATTTGACCAATTGTCCATCGATGGAAATCGGACTGTTGTTTGTATCTGGGTCGTTGAAGGACATGAACTGAGTCTTTGCCACACTCAGCACAAGGCCACCGGTCTGTAACTGATGTTTCTACGACACGAGTGCCTCTTGCAAGTGAACGCGGCTGTCTGTGCAGATGGCTACGTCGTCAGCGTATATAAATGTCCACGTTGCTGAATTCTGTGCCGCTTCAGTGAGTGAGTCCAGAACCAAACAAAACAGAAAAGGGCTCAATACAGAACCTTGGTGCACTCTTTCTGTGACCGCTATCGACTTGGTCTCACCCACCACCGTCCGAACCATTGACCTCGCATCTCTGTACATTTTGCAGTTATATTATCATGAAATCTTAGTACCTACGCAGGGGTGACAACGCATCTGTATTTTTATTCTTAATCGAGGATAGATGTAGATGTCTATGGGCCACAGCACACACTTACCATCAGGCAGACTGTGCGCTCGTTTGCCACCCTTCTTCTATAAAATAAAGTCTGTAATGGACTCTAATTATCTAATTTTTTAACTAGACCTCAGATTTGCTAATTTCAAATTTTAGTAACGGATGTCAGAATTTTATGATTCTAGCATAGTCAACCTCAATTGCAAGTATTTTTTAATGTGTTTATGTGTAAAAATATATTATACTAACAATTCACACATCATGAAACCTTCTATATATTATATGCATAAACCAATCCTAAGCCTCAAACAAATTATTTGATATAAGTAGTTAAAAGTATTTGGCGTCCATCGTAATAAGAACATCGACCTTTCCACTCAGTAGTACAACCGTCAGTAACCCATAAGTTTGTCTCAGTAACAGCGACTACATGCACAATAGCATTCGCGGGCAGCTGAGGTACGAGCTCTGTGCTACCGTTAGCCTGGCGAGATGTTTAATCATGATGGATGAACAGCCCGTCGTCCATATCGGGTGTATATTTCAACCTGGAACGTGCCTCACCTCCACTATCTCACACGGCCAACTACGGAAAACTCGCCCGCTTTGAAGGGATCGCTCCAATCGACTTAAATTACCGTTGTTCGAGAACAAATTACTCTATTCTAACTTACTTCTTTCGATATACCCATTTGTAGATAACGAGTTATCAAGTTGTTGTTTGTTCATTTTAATAGTAATTAATGGACGGAATGTTCTAGTTTTGTTGGTCAATTATTTTGAAACTATCTTTTTGTAAGTTTCATTTGGTAAGAAATCTTAATTTGATAGAAAATTTCTCCGTTGTCTATTTTGTATTCCCATTCAGTCTTTTTTGTTAATTGTCTTATAGGAATAAATAATTCTACAGTATACGTTCATATTTCTTTTTTTTTGTATGCTTAGTGAATTTATATATGATAACACTGTATTGTTTTCTTGAATACGCTTCATTACGTTCCTTGGAAACAGATTAAACTATTTAAAAAATAAATGATATTAATAAATATAAAACCAGAACATTGCACTTTTCTATGTTCCCATGTAATAAAATCATACATACATCCATTACACCCTGTAAAATTTCACTACTGAACCTACCCGTAGATAGTCTCAAAGTGAAGTTTTGCTAAAGTTGCCACGCTTATCATGGGAATTGGCAACCGTAGTTTTAATTTTGAACTGTTTCAGTTTACCATTATCGTCTCTTACGACCCTCGATACGAGTTGGGGTAGGGGATATTCTTATACCACCCCCACTTCGGTTACGCAAATACGCCTTTTAATTTTGTTCCTTCTGTCCGCACTGAGCCAAGAATAATAAGCGTTTTTACCAGTTATAAATGTTTACAGGATGGGATGTTTTGTGTTTTTTTTTAAACTTATACGTTGCTTTGGAAAGTTTTGTTATGATTAATATATTTATATTTGAATTTTGGTATAATTTGATAATAATAATTTCTCCCGTATAATATAGCGGTATGTATATTGGATATCAACATACGTTCCGACCTGGAACAATAATATGTAGGGCAAACAAATACTTGTCCAAACAACCAAAAAAATTTCGCCGTCATATAATTTATGTATCAATGCAATAAGCAGTAGAAGTTGTTTTGCTCTTCCGGTAGGCAGCATGATTAGTTTCACTCTTAGTTTTTTCAGTGGTAAAATGAAATTACACTCTACCACAGCGCCATTTTTCGGATCCTAGTATAGCCATGATCCATCGCCTTGACAAAGCAAATATACTGTATCATATATTTACTTATCGTTCAGAATAAACCTCAATCAGTCTAGTTATTCATCAGTTACACAATCACTAATGCAAATACCAACGATTAATGTACTAAACAAACATAGCTTATGCCCAAAGAGTAACTCATTTCATATAAATCGTGAACCAGACTTCTTCTACCAATTTATCAAGTTTAGAGATTAGTGCAGTCCAAGTCGAAATAAAATATTTTAAAAAAAAAATGACTTTTAAAAAACAATTTTTGATGGAGGAGAATTTGTGAGAATAAGCGGCAAGAAAAAAGTAGTGGTTTAACTCGCAAAAGTTAAAATTTAACTTTAAAAATATAATATACACAACTAAAAAAAAGTCTAAGGAAGCTCATTATGAGCACTCTTGTCTTTTAAATAGTCATCTAATTTATAATATCCCTTTTTACCTGAATCGCCCTAATCAGCTAAACATCTTTTATAATCCTTATAAGATATCTCTAATTAAGTAATCTGACTTTTCGATAAATCATGAATGTCACCTGTTGTTCGCTGGAGCATGTGCCTCTTATTGGTTCACTGTTAACGTTCACCTGTGGTTTTTAATGAGCAATCAATTATCATAGTATTTTATAGGGTATAATTAATTTGATTGCCGCGGTGTAGTGGCGGCGTTAGAGAATCCACTACCCTGTGTCATTTTGTGGGTGATGTAAGAAGCGACAGAAGGAAATTACGCAGGAGATGGGTAGCACCATCTTCCGAATAACAAGTGAAAATAATAATAAACCAACCAGTGTGCCAAGCGCGCCAACTATGGCAAATATGAGGGAGGTCTATGTTAAGTAATAGACTCTTGTTGGACTGTAATGAATGATGAACTATTGTATTATTACTACAGTACGTGAGAGTAATATGGTCATCCGGTTAATATGGTCACTTTCTTATAACTCAAAAACTACAGCCTTGTTTGAATAGATGGCTTTGTGATACGATAACTCTTCATCAGTCAATCAAATAATAAAGGTTCAAAAGGGCGCTGCGTTATAGACACCATTTTAACAGTTGACATTATAGTAAATATTCAAGTCGATTTAGTATGGTGTAATGTAGTTAGTTTTTTTAATTAGATTTTTCGAAGTGTTCCTATTTAATTCCAAAGCTTGTTTGTTATGTTTTTCTTAATATATTCGTTATAGAATACGACTTTATGTTTTTGTCTCTGTCCATCTCCTAAGTTTGGTTTTATAAGACGGCAAAGCTTAAGGTGACCATATTACCCTTACGTACCTTAGGATTTATTTTGTGCCTCTGTCTGTCACTTATTTTTGAAATTAAAAACAATACCAAAAGAAATAAAGGACGTATGATAACATAACATCTTCCGATGTCAGATAGAGACGACTCATCTCGTCCATGCTCTGTGCGTGTTTTGAAAATAGCTTATGGAAAATGTCAGACAAACCACAATCTTCAATAGTTTTACAAAATAACGAATACTTTGACAAAAGAATAATATAGTAGAGTTAGTAGTATAGTTGTAGCACGAATCGGTCGGCTCGACCGGGGAGGGACCACGCTCTCACAGAATACCAGCATCAAATAGTAGCTTAATGCTACTGTGTTTCGTATGGTGAGGGTAGAGAACCAGAGACTCTTTTTACTGGAAACGAGGCATTCCACCTCAAGTCCTCACAGGTGACAACGCATCTGCATTTTGATTCGTAATCGAGTATAGATGTAGATGTCTATGGGCCACAGAAACCACTTACCATCAGGTGGACTGTGTGCTTGTTTGTCACCCTATCTATATTTTTAATCCTTAAACGTATTTCAAAAACAGGTTTCTCTCTCTCTCTCCTCTTATTAGGTCATTGATCTACCTAAAGAATGTTGTCTTTTTTGTGCATAAGTTGGTGTCTTTTCTTATTTTAGTGCACCCTACCCGTAATTTAAAAATGACTGGCTTACGAGTATTATTTTACACTTAAATACATTAATAATTTTTGAACAGGTTAATTATTGTTAAACAGTTGTAGTATCGCTTTTGAAATGTGGTACTAAAACTCCCGTTGACCATTTTAGGTAGATAAACTTAAAATGCTTACGTTAAGAGAGGCGGATTCGAAACAGGTTAATTATTAATATGATATATTTTCATAATTATAATAATATGTGTTATTCATAGGTATTGTTTTCTTGGTGGATTAAATTGCCATAAATTTTGTGTCCATAATAACAGATCTACTTTATTGACATTTTGTCACTTCAGTTTATTAAAAATAAACCTTAGTAATTTAATATCAATGTATGAAATAAACTAAGAAAAAACTTACATTAAATACTTCTCGTTGATTTCCTCATCGAGTATAACGAATATGGCGAATATGGTGGCTTGTACGCAACGTCAATAGCATAGAGTAGCATTAGCTCAATCGCATCTAATGGGAGAAAGGTTTGATTGTGCCCTGCTTTGTAATTGTCTATAGGCAGCTGGCGTAATTATTGGCGCAACCAGTACTCAGAGAAACAGAGTAGGGTTAAAAAGAAAAAAAAACGAGTGTGCTTATGACCACACGACTGAATTAAAACTTCTTTAGCTCCATCTGTATAGATGTTATACGTTTCTGTTTATGTATATTATATATGCATATATGTATAATATATACATGTTTATACATACATATCTTATTTTCTACAAATATTCACATTTATTATCGGCTTCCTTCCATAATTTGTTATTATTCACGCGAAAATTCACAAAACATGAACTTTAAATTGAATTTACAATTTCATTCACTTTAAACGTAGAATATTTAATGTATTGAACAAAATATTAATTCATAAAATACGGAACGTATAGCTGGCTATGAGAGAAAGAGAAAGAAAATGTGCGCGTGCACTGCTCTCTCTAGCTCATATCCCCCACTAAATTCCCGTTCGCCTCGCCCGATCACACTTTTCGTAACGCTTTCGTCACGCGTTCGCCAGCTCAAGTGAAGTGTGCGTAAAGAAGTTTTACTTCAAAAAAAGAACGAATAGAAGAAATGAAATACATATTATGGTAAAAGAGAGGTTATTCCTAGGTTCCATGGTTCCGTCCTGCCTAGAAGTCCATATGGGTTAGTGACATCCTTTTTTTGCATCCACTGCTGTT